ATGTCAGCCTTCTCACCCCATTGTGCAGTCCTAGCCTTAAACGATGGATACTAGGTGCTATGCATATCATGCCTGATCTTGAATCCTACAACGGTTAATGATGTGATGGGATAAGTTTTTCTTTTGTCCATACCCCCTTCGACTATGATTTATTCCCCATACTTCTTACCACCACGAGTTCTGTACAACTTCCATCAAGATTGCTCATTTTCAACCTCCCTCTCATGCTCTGCTTCATCTTCTAATTCCTAATGCTTTCAAGCTCTGCTTCATCTTTTGGATGCATTTGTTCTAAAAAATTTCCTTTAGAATATAAGTTTACCTTTTAATCGATGGTGACATCATATGAAGTTAATATGATGGTTTCTTTTGGTTACGATCTTGACGATCACCTCTACAATGTCCTCTTACGGTAGCTTCCTCTTGATTATGATTTTGACAATGGTTCTTGATTTATTCATACATGAACTCATTCATCATCTTTATGTTGTTTTGCAATGGATCCTATTTGTTATGTTATAATCATATTAACGGTATTTTGGGAATAAAACATTATTAAAGGTCATTTAGTGTGAAAAAGTTTGGGAAGGTTATTTTTGTATTTGAAATCTCATTTAAGGTCATTTCTCGAATGGACCTAAAATTGAGTTGCTAATGAGGAAAGTGATAAAGAAATAGCTTTACTCAGTTGTTTGGTTGAATTTATCATTACAAAAAGAAACACAATTTTACTTGAAGATTTAAGAAGCAACATAAATGTGGCTAAGGACCATGTCCTTGAAAGCTTGTAGCCATTTATAGCATTTTTCTAATGCTAAAAAACGCTAGAAACTTCATATTTAAATCAATTATGAATATACCTGGCAATTCAGCAAAACAATTAAGGAAAAAAAAGTTTGGTTAAAAACAAAATTTGTCATTTAATGAAGATTTGAAAAAGTAATTCATAAAGCAAGTTCGAATGTTTGAATCATCTTAAGAATTTCCATAGTTTATTTATTGTTATATTTCAAACAGTAGTACTTGAAATTTCGGCCTGTTAGGATGGATCATATGGACAGTCTGCCCATTTCTTTTTTTGCTTTTGAGGCATATAATTTTTGGCTTTTGGTAAATAAGGCATATATTACCTTTTTGATGTAAATTTTAAGTATAGAAGATCAAGAAAAAATATATATACACAACAATTTATATAATCTAAAAGATGTTATTTGATATTCAAACCTTTCAAAGCAAATAATCCTAGGGAGATAAACTTGTTGAGACCACTTTATAATATTGATAAACATTTTGTATTGTTTCATAATAGTGATTGATCCGCTATATTCTTGCTTAGAAACAACAAATAGAACATGTTACTAGGCATGAGAATGGGGCAGGGACTTCAATCCCTGTCTTCGTCCCCATCCTCGCCGGGGAATATAATCACACCCCCATCCCAAACGAGGAACGGGGATCCCCGACGGGGAAACGAGGATTCTTTTTTTCGTTTATATAAGTTAATTTTAAATTAAATATGTGAGAGACCATACATGTTTAAATCTCAAACATTTTCAATAAACCTAAAACCAAAATGAATATACTTTAATACAAAAAAACCACAACATCAGAACTAATAACCTAAAACCAAAAAAAAAAAATCAATTAAATCCAAAAAACTTAAAGTTTCGTGTACCAAAAGATATTGAATAACATAAACCATATCGAGTTTGAGTAATATACAAAATTTATCGAGTAATTGTATTTTGACTTGACATCCAAAATATTACATAGTAACATAAAAAAAATACAATTTAAATTATAAACCTAGTTAGGAAATAAGAAATTATGAACAACCGCTTTAGTTGAAATAAATAATACACACACACATATATATATATATATATAATTTATTAATATGTATATATATATAACGGGTACGCGACGCGGGGCGGGGCGGGGAGTATCATACTCGTTCTCGTCCCCATCCCCGATTTGAGACAAACGGGGATCCCCGTCCCCATCCCCGATTTAGTAGGGAATCCCGTCTCCGACCGGGGCGGGGGGACCGGATTCCTCGACGGGTCGGAGCTCATTCCCATGCCTACATATTACAAAGAAGTGTTTATTGAAGTGTTGACACTACCACAAATATATGTTACATAGTGGATCAATATGTCTTGAGGTGGATTACTCCATGAATATGTATTAGTATCACCAACCTTTCTTAAACATCTCCATGTTATTAACAAGATCTCTAAATATAGATATGCATAATTCTTTATGGGTGATCTTATTGATCAAGACCACCACAATCATTGCCTATCATAAAGCAAAGTCCCTTTGGCTTCATTTGATAAAGCAATCAAGGTAGTCATTTGAGGACTTACATCAAGGAAGTGAATATGCAACCACATCACACTCGCTCTTAAGGGACTATGTCACAAAGAACCTTGTTAGTCATGAAATTATTAGATAAAACCCGATGCTAGGGTTTTGAATCATGATGGTGTAAGTCCTTCCAAGGTTTATGAGAAATTATGCCAATACAGAATCAAATGCACAACCTAGCATCACCAATCATATCATAACCCAATATGATGGGTCACTCATTATAACATACATGTTCATCAATGAGCCTTTTGAACAATTTGGTTTAGGTTTCATCATCGACTAATTTAGAAGAAGAGAAAGAGGGTGGCTTATAAGATGTTGACTTGTATATATTTGTAAGAGTTGCATTTTCCTTGTATAGACCAAATCATCTCATGAATGTGATTGCTTGAATTGATTTAAGCAAACCTAAGGGGATATTGGTCCACATATTAGAAACATTAACTCCTAGGATATGGGCATTGGCTTGAAAAAAGTATGTTTTGACTCTTTGTCCACATTATACCAGGCTTAGTATTCTAGGGAATAAAGTTACTCAATAACACAAGAAACATTTTATGACTGTGATTGAGAGTTAGTTAGGATATTCTTGTTAGTGTTTCTAGATTAAATTTGATCCCCAAAATTCATTTGTACCACTCTAGTTAATAGTGGCTGAAATGTTGTATGAATCAGTTCACTCCTATTAACATATTGGCGTGCTTTATGCTTGGACGAGAACCACTTTATCAAAAAGTTTGGTGAGTTTGAACCGAACTGAACCAAGTCAAGTCAGAACACAACATGACTCGAACTTGACATTTCGGTCAACTGAAATGAGGCGAACATATAAAAGTTGAACTCACTGTCTGCACATGCCTCTATGAATCATTATAATTTATATTTTGTTCGTCTACTACGCTTTGTGAAAGTCCCATTTCAAAAACAGATTAAGATTAATTCATGAAAGATAGAAAGAGATTGAAGAACATGATGTAGAATCCGACCAACTTCTATTATTGGAAAGTAAATGACAATCTTTCACAAACTCTCAAACGACTCTCATTGATGATTATAAGAATGATTAGAAAGAAGATTAGCTTATAATCTAAGCCTCATGTCCCTATTTATAGGAGACATTTACATTTAAGACCATAAGCCCTTAACCTAAATATAAAGAGTATTACAATACAATACAATACAATAAAAGAACTTTCTACAACTTTCTAAAACTTAACACTTTGTATGTTCAAGACTTTCAGTTTTATATTATATTCGTTTAAAAAAAATACAACATTGGATTTGATATTAAACTTCAATACAAAACCTTAATTAATTATTAAGGCCAAAATATATCAAAATGAAATGAAGTTTGTCTTAATTCATATTTAATGTAACCATGGTTTTATATTGGCGTGAGGTGTGGTGGGACGTGATGTCAAGCCTCCAACCATAAGAGCCACAACATTTTTCAAAACGTGATTTATGACGACAACTTTGTATATCACGGATGTAATTATATATTTCTAGACATGTTTCATACTATTAATGGGTCAATGATATTGAACGATTTAAATTATGTTATACATTAAAAACTAAAATGTATGACAACAAGAAGGTAAAAAACGTTAACACCTTACAAAAATAGCACATAGGGCGATGGTGTGCGACAAGCTTAATGTGGCATCGGAGACGAGTCTTAAGCCGCAACACACCATTACAACTACCATGACGAGCCTTTTAGAACGTTGACTGTTTTTTCTCATTTAATGCAACAAGCGTTAAACTTTTTCTATTTCATATTTGTTTTGACGGGTAATAAGTACTTACATACTAGATTGTCAAATTGTATTATAATTATAAAACATTCGACAAAAACACTTAAAAACCATGCATATTACTTAAAACTCAAGATTGCAAGTAGATTGTCGTAAGTACAACTTATTAAAGCTCCATATCTGAATTCATGTAACTAACYGCGGATAAACATAATCAAATACATGATAAACATCTCATTTTAAATATAGAAAATCTAAAATATAATTAGGATAATCATTGAGTTCTAATAGATTACTTAATTATTATTTTTATAAAATGTTATATTATTAAACCAAAAATAAATTATTTCGTTATTAAACTTAAATCAAATTATAATATAAAAAAATTAAAGAAATTACATAAAAAATGAGAACTTTTAAATAGTTGATTTGATATTAACATTGATATATTTTTTTTCAAATTTTAATGATATCTTCAAATTTATATTTTATTCAAAAATAAAATCATTATTGCTTTCTTAAAAACACATAAAATCTTATTATAACATCGACAAAGACAAATAATAAAATAGAATATTAAAATGAGATGTGTCTTACTACATTGCGTGAGTACTCTTCTAGTAACTTAAAAAGTTGTTTATAAGATATAGTTAAATAAATTAATATTTTTATTATCATACTAAATAAAAATAACCACATATTGAATATTATTAGTAACAAAATTCGAAACCACAATAATTTTGTTGCAAATTTTTTAAAATTTTTAATAAAAACTTACTGAACCTTCATCCAAACGAGTATTTTGCAATTATATAGGAATTAGGCAGCAAAAAGAAGTCAAGCAGGCAAACCGCCAGCCCGGGAAACCTTGGTATGAACTCTTGCCCTAAGAAACTTTGGGGCTGAACGAATTTTTGGTAAATTTGGGGGTAGAAAGATGAGCAACAGAGGTAACAATACTGGAGGTGGTAACAACAGTAACATTAATTCTTCCAATCGCCCTGAATGGTTGCAGCAGTACGATTTGATCGGTAAAATTGGTGAGGGAACTTACGGTCTGGTATTCTTAGCCAAGATCAAGTCCAATCGGAGCAAGTCTATCGCGATTAAGAAATTCAAGCAATCCAAAGATGGTGATGGCGTTTCCCCCACCGCAATTCGCGAAATCATGGTATATTTCTCTCTCCCACACGTTAAATTTTCGTAATTCTGTTTTATAGTTTGTAGAATTCATGTATTCTTTGTCTGAATCGTTTGAAGTGGTGGAGACATGGCTCTTTGTACTGCATAAGGGGGTTTGTTTGTTCCCATCTTGTAAAGCCACCGATTGAAAAGATATGGTAGGGCATTAGCTTTATATGATTAAAATGACTAATTGAATTCCTTCTCAAAATAACCTGGTTGAATTGAAATCTTGTAGAGGCGCATTAATGCTACTTCCAGTTCAAATGTGGTCATCATAAAATGCATGTTTCTTTTCATTGTTTGTGTTTTTTTTTCTATAAAGAGCAACTTCAACCACATGGTAAGATCTGCATTTCATCGATGGGAATGCTCTAGTCACACTTCAAATTGGATGGCAAAATGCCGATGTTGGGAGAGACACCGCATATATGCTGTGGTACTGTTCAAACGACATACATGCCATCTCGTTGGAGGTAGAGCCAATATTGGTGTTAATGACCCCACCAATTTGGTGTCCTTTTTTGTTCTAGGTATAAATAATGAAGCTCAATTTTGGGTTAATGGTTCATAATTTTTTTAGATAAAACGAGAGTTGACTTTATCAACTTACTTGGGATAAAACTTATATTTGGTTCCTAATTTTTTTAGATAAAACGAGAGTTGACTTTATCAACTTACTTCTTTGGAATGATCATGAAACTAACTCAAACTCATGTTATAAAAGACCTGAGAGTAATATTGCATGATGTATTATGCAAGCTCAAATATTTTCACAATTATGTCAGCCGTCTCCATCTATAAGAACAGAACGATTTTTCATTCCTTTGTTTTGTCTCCTTTAAATACTTTAAATCATTGAAGTGAATGTCCTTAGATTAGCACCCTGATCTTGTGAGTAGCATGACAAAAGTTTCTCTCTCTCAATCGCAAATCTGTATTCATTGGTGGGACTGATTTATGGAGAGAATTTATGGGATTGTTTGTCTATTCTGGCTTGCATGATTGGCTTTCCTCCATTTATAAAAATTTAGAGTTTGTGTATCTCTGCTTGAGCTAACATAGAAACAAGTTGGTTTTTGTAAACCTTACAATAACAAGATTGCTTGGAAATACGTTTATTGTGGCCTCGCTTTTCTGGCTTATTCGTCCAGTGATTCTATTGGTCACTCAACAAATTTTTCTATAGAAAGCATAACCTCAAAGTCATCGCCTTAATGACCTTTATCTCCAGTTGTTGGTGCTCGTTTTCTGCTCATGCATCAAAAACGAGTTAGAATTCAAGTCTCTTGTGTTCATTTTCGCACCTTTAGTTTTATTTTCTGCCAGCTGATTAATTAGTCTGTAACCAACCCTTGATGCCAATGAAGCACGATTTTATACTCAACCCTCTGACGCTGAATTTATATACACACATATATATTTTTTTTGCTGAACATGTTACAATTCCAATGCAGTTGCTTAGGGAGATATCCCATGAAAATGTGGTGAAGCTGGTGAATGTACACATCAATCATATGGACATGTCTCTCTATCTGGCCTTTGATTATGCTGAGCATGACCTCTATGTGAGCATATTACTATTTACCCACTTAAATTTACGTGCTTAATCTCAGAATTTTATGTTAAAATATTATATGTGATTTATGAAACGTATCTAATCATAGTGCACAATATAGTGAGTCACTATCAACACAGGTCGTGGAAGTATATGCGCAAACATATGTGGTTTTGGGGCTATATGCTGTTCACTCGTAACATGATGTGCTTGGTAACTTGTGGATGATTTTGTTGGATAAGTGGTTTTAGAAGGATTAATTAAAGGAATGGGCTAAGTCTTACATGGTAAATGATGTCATTTTTTCATGGGATATTGTTGATAGGCCAAAAATAGAGAAGAACTTGCACATTGCTAATTTTCTTGATTAGCATAATTTGTCTTTCAGTTAAACCTGGTTTATTTTTTGTGTACTTTATTCCCTATGACATTGGTTTCCAAATTGAAAAGTTAGTTGTAATCCACTGAATTTATATTATGAATTAGTAGTTGCTTTGTCCATCCATGGTCATTAGTATGTGACCATTTGTTTCTTCCAAATGCACATTTGTTGGTGTTGGTTCCATATTTGTAGGGTAATGCATTCCAATTCCAATGGTTTATAAAATTAAGAGCACTCTGGTCGTTTTGTCTTTCTTCTTGTTTATGAAGTTTCTTTCTAATGCTTCTTCTTATTAAAAGCCTAGGTAACAATGCAAGTTTTTGGTATTGTTACCATGTGTAGAGTTTGTGTATTAACCGGCTATTGCTTCTCCTTCCACAACTAAATGAGCGTGCGATTGGCATGTTTTGATTGTCATACTGATTGACACATAAAATTAGATGCTATACTAATCCTTCACGATTCTTTCACTCTTATCTTCACTTCTAATGTAGAAGTTGGTCCCGACCTTCTTCCCATAAGGTTTTTACATCCTTCTCAAGTCATTGAACATCATTTTTTATTGTTTGAGTAAATCAACTTCCATTGTGGCCATATGATTAACGAGTTCCTGGAGCCAAGATTGGTTTCATATCTTCAATTTCTAAACATGATTCACATGCATATGTGATGAGTATTTTGTGGTATTAGGTCTTCATCATGCTTGTTTTGAGCAAGTTTTTTATTATATATTTCAATTATGTTTCCCAAACTGCCAACCCACTCTATGTACATTATTCATATGGAGTCCTATAATAGTGTTTATCATTGCATTCTTAAATCTTGCATGTATTAGAGCTTAGTGTCATGAGATTATTGTTTATGATATAACGGCTCATGTGATTTAGTACTTTCACACCTAGGACGTGCTTAGTTCGTCCGGATATCTTATAGAAGGGACTTGGTTGGAGGAACTAAGACAAGAACAAAAGAGGTGAGCCTAAAAGGAGCAGTAAGAGTAAGCGTGCAGGTGCTGGTGCTATTACCTTAACTGAAGGATGCTTTATTGGTGGTCTTATAAGTGCTAAGCATATGATTGTGGGGGCGTTGATGTTGGAAAATCTCCTGTGATACAAGTGGCCTGTGACATAAGGCTTTAACTCTCCTCCACATTTAAGGTACCTAAAGGAACTTTGGAGAAATTTAGTATATATTCAAATCTGGAACATCATACAGTGAGGGAGCTCATAGAGGAGGTGCATGCTTTTCACTCATGATAACTGGTGATTGATGAGAGTTGGGTGGTTTGAATAAAATGCTAGAAATTGGAAGCTTTTAGATTGTGTCTAAATAAAAGAGTATAAAAAGTACATCTTCGACCGTGCTATAGTGAGGCAGAAGTTGCAGTAAGCACATGGTAAGCAGTACTTGATAAGGATTCATTATCTGAGATTTGTTTTACAAAAAAACTGGAGTTCGATGAGGATGTTAGTCATATGATAAGAGCAAGGTGGTTGAAATGATAACAAGCATTATGATTTTGCATCCAAAGAGTTCCATTGTGATGGAAAATTAAATTTTGTAGGACAAGGGACAACCCGTATGATTTGCAGGCAGAATATGTTGCTATCAAAAGGCATGTACACGGATGAGTGCAACAGAGAGGCAAATATTGAGGTGGATGTACCTCAGATGAGAGATAGGATTAGAAATGATGATACTGAAGGTGGTTGAAATGATGACATACTGAAGGTGTTTGAAATGATGACATACTGAAGGTGGTTGAAATGATGACAAGCATTATGATTTTTGTGTCCAAAAAGTTCCATTTTCACGGAAAATTAAATTTTGTAGGACAAGGGTACAACCCGTATGATTTGCAGGGCATAATATGTTGCTACCAAGAGGCCCGTACATGGATGAGTGCAACAGAAATGCAAATATTGAGGTGCATGTGCCTCAGATGAGGGATAGGATTAGATGACATACTGAAGGTCACGGTGGTAACGTTGAGGAAAAGCCAAGATCATTTGAGATGGTTTAATTATCTCCAATGTAGACCTCCAAACACACTGGTTAGAAGAGGAGACTGGATCAAGATGGATATGTGGGAAGTTGTAAAAGGGACATTTGGATGAACGGTGTATGTGGATGGTCGTGATTGATGCCTGGAATGTTAGGGATTCACCACTTTACATCTTTTTTTGGGTTGCACCATTTTATAATGTACTACATTATTAGCATACCCCTACTTGTTTAAGAAGGCTTTTTTTTTGTTTTTGTAATTTAGACACTTTGTGCAACTCAGCATATTTAGACAGGATATCGACCACTTACTACTGGGTCCTCATTGATGGCAACATCGTGTCCTTGGTGCATACATCTTTTGCAGGTTAAGCAGAACTCAGCATATAGAAATATTGCAGGCTATTGCATTAAATTGATTTGCTATCCTCATAGCCAGTAAGCAAGTCTTTGATGAGAGAACCGAACATAGAAGTTGGTTGTCACATGGAATTTTTTTGGGTAAAACAACAGGACCTCCACCATAGACATATATCCTTCAACTTGAGTGTTAGTAGTAACAACATTAGGTTACTGTTATCTTTGTGTGAAGTCGGGTTGCATTTCTGTTCCATCTTTCTGCCCATGAGTGCACCTTGTTTACATTATTTATACAGGTTATCGCTCAAAAACATTCATCACTTTAAATCTTCAGCACTTATAGCAACCATACGTCGTAGCCTCCTCTGAGATAAACTTGTAACGTGCAGCTGTACTGGATAATTGTAACCCAAACTTATTGCATTGTGGTAGTATGTATCAGTGTCTCCTGCATATGGTCAGGTTTCTGGTGAGAATTCTTGATCAGTTGATCCATGCTAGGGAACTAAGACACCTTGATCTGTAATGCCAGATGCAATCATGGTGGAAAGAGTGTTGGGTAGGGAAATAACAGTTTATTAAAGGTTGAGCACTCAATAGGCTAGGATGACCATAGCTCTATTTGACCTTTTTCCAGCTACAAGTAAGCTCCAACTGCAGGCTTAGCCAGCTACATGGTCTATCTTCCATCAAAGAAGAGGAGCAGCTAACACCAACATCAGCAATCAGGGTAATAGCATGGATGAACACAAAATTCTGATCTGGATTTGATTACCATACAAATAGATGTTGCTAACTAACAGCTAGGCAGATACTCAATTGTCATCTTGCATCCCCTAGGGTTATGACAATCAGGGTAATAGCATGGATGGACACAGACTAATCTTGATCCGGTTTGTTTCCCATACAAATTGATGTTGCTAAGTAACAGCGCGACAGATGCCCATTTGTCATCTTACATTCTTCTTTGTAATACTTATTCTGTTTCACAAGAAATGTAGCAATTTGTTCTGTAGGCACATCAAGAAAGGTGATTGGATGGTAATAAGTTCCTAAAGTAACTTTAAATTTAAATTTTGTAAGATTAACAAAGCAGGGAAATTCCCGTCTTCGAGGATTTACTTAATGTTGAGTTGATGTGTAGCAAGCGTTGTATATCAAATTAATAAACATGGATTGTCTGGTGGACTTAAGTAAGGGTAAAAGTAATTTGTTTATGCTTTTTTCTTTAATTCCAAAAAATGGAACATTTGCACTTTTAGTTAGGACACCTTTAAAAGGAAATAGTTGCACTTCTTGCATAAGTAGAGGGAGCACATGTTATGATACATGAATGTTTTTCTCATTGCAATCGTTCGTGTATCTTTCAAACACACATCTTTAATGTATGTATAGTTGCTGATGCCAATTGTTAAGGCTCATATTTGTACAGAAGTGGTGAGTTAACCCACAAAAAATGAAGAAATAGGGTTTTTTTTTGCCATAGTAAAAATTTATAATTTAATTGCTTTTTGGATAAAACTTATGGGCTTCTACCACAGCCATCACATATCAGGCAGTAGTGCAATGACTATTATAATTTGGTCACACGAACTGGTGCTAGCTTGACGCCCTTGACTTGCTTTTTTCTTGTGTGAAAACACCAGGAAATTATTAGACATCACAGAGACAAGGTTAACCAAGCTATTAACCAATACACCGTGAAGTCAATACTTTGGCAGTTGCTTAATGGGCTAAATTATCTTCATAGGTAAACAAAACTTGTGAATCTCTTCATTTTGGTTGCATAATCACCATGAGTAAGGCACTTACATTTACTAAAATGGATGCAGCAACTGGATTATGCATCGAGATCTTAAGCCCTCCAATATTTTGGTAAGATTGTATATTTGTTGTCACCATTGATATCTCATTGCTAATTAGTTAATCTAATGGAGTAATTATTACTTCTTTTTCGCACTTCTGGATGTATATATTATCTTTAGGTGATGGGTGATGGAGAAGAACAAGGAGTTGTAAAAATTGCTGATTTTGGACTGGCTAGAATATATCAAGCTCCACTGAAGGCATTATCCGATAATGGGGTAAGAGGCAATTTAAGATTTCAAGTCCAATGCTGCTCACATCATATTTCTTTTAGCGACATAAAATATGCTTTCTTGTTGATTATGATGAGCTTATTATGCCAATTGGTCGGTTTTGTTTGGCTTAATGGCATCATCTGGTTCCATAAGTAGGAGAACCAAACACTAATAGTATCTTGAGCAAGGAAATCTGTTATAAGAAAGGTTTTGAAAGAAGAATAAAGGGAGTAGAAGTGTTCACACTGTAATAATTACATTTCTTCTTATCGGTATTTTCACAATTCCTCCCTCCTCAAGGGTCAAACCACAATTACAGTTATTTAGGCTATAGAACACTGTCTTCTCAAGACAATTTCTTGCAAGTAGTTTCCCTCCATCATTAATTCCTCACCAGCATTGTTATCATCATGATGGTGTGTTCATGCCAGGATCACAATGGTTTTTGAGAAAAACATAATCACAACCAACACTGAAAAATACCAAGAGTGATTTTACTTTAACTTTTCCTTCCATCAGAATAGTTTTTTGGTCACTCCGTTTATTTAGTGCTAACACTTATATTTCTGTATAATATGCCATAATGTTATTTGTATACATATATGGATGCATGTATTTATTGGTTTAAGATTTTTGGAAGTCGGAAAAGAAAACTAATTATCCTCTTGATAATCTTGCATGACCTGAAGCAGCATATTTGTACCACCAAATTTAGAAAATATGACTGAAACATTGGGAAGCATATTAGTAGGGATAACCAGAAAGGTTATGCTGAAGTACTTACCTGGTTGCTAACGAAACAAGCTAAAACACTTACAGCCCACAAATTGGCAGAAAACATAGAGAAGATGTCCCAGAAAACTACTTTGGCTGAAGATGCTAATAAAACACACTTCATTAGCAGTAGAAGAAAGTGATATGAAGAAACAGAAGAAAGAGCTGTATCATCCAAGTCCCATATGTTTAAGCAGGTGAAAGAGAGTTATTATTTTTCGTTTGTACTTCAATAAGCTGAATTTTGTTATTATTAATGAGGATACTTTAAATAGGTGAAAGAGAAAACAGTTGAGGATAATTATTAATGTCTTGTACCCACCTTGGGCCCAAGCCCATCCATACTTGTTATTCTAGAGGGGTTAGAAAGGGTATTTTGGGTAGTTATAATAAATCTAGTATAAATAGTGGTGTGGAGGGGAGTAGAGGTATCCAGAAATTATTTTGTGTGTTTTCTTAAGAGAGCTCTGGCCTCTCAAATAGCCAGAAACCTCTTGCTTACTGTTGAGTTCCAGCAATCTACCGGTTCATAGCAGATAAGCACATAAGGATGAACAACTGGATAAAGATAAACATGGGGAAGTTTAAAAGAAATGGACTCTTGCAATAAACTTATTTAGTTTTTGATGGTGTTGACGATATAGATGAATCATAAAGGAAATCAAAAGACAAGTCCGTAATGGTTAGGATGTCAACTCCAGCATGAAGCTCTTTTAGAAGAACTTAGATACGAGCCACAAAATCATGCCAGAGAGCAAGATCCGAACAAGTTATCAGTCACATCTGTTCACAAACAGCTTGTATAACATAACTGGATTAGGTAATATAAAGAAATGATGATCATGATGTTGTGGACAGTCCATGCATACTAATAGCATACGACTTTCGATACTGTTTCCAGAAGTGTATTTACCCATGTTAACATTTTCTTAAGCTTAGAAGGTAATGATGTAGTCAAGGTTTTGTTTGGTTTGTTCTGCCTTCCAAGTAAATTATATTCATTGCATTTATTTTAGTTATGAACTGTACCTTCTCTTAGGTTGTTTGTGATGTCTGAAATGCATTCTTTCTTTTTTATTTTACTTCTAACGTCTAGTTCTAATACTGTATGTTAATAATCATTGACAGGTTGTTGTAACAATTTGGTATCGTGCACCAGAGTTGCTCCTTGGGGCGAAGCACTACACTAGTGCTGTTGGTATGAAAAAATTATGTCACCAAATTCTCTCTTTCTAGAATTGTTTTATTTATCGTGCTAATTTTGTATGATCTTATACTTCTAATCATACTGAAATGACATACTTGATATTATCAGATATGTGGGCTGTTGGCTGTATATTTGCGGAGCTTCTGACATTGAAGCCACTGTTTCAAGGACAGGAAGTAAAAGCCACACCGAACCCTTTTCAGGTGACAAACATAGTTATGGCTACTAATATTTCCTCCTATTCTGTTCTCGCCTAATATGGGTTGTTGCTTTTTCAGCTTGATCAGCTCGACAAAATTTTCAAGGTTCTAGGTAAGGGAAGTTGAAATTGAAAAACTATAAGGCCCCCTAAATCCTTTCAAAGTTTTTAATCCATGTTAAGACACATTCACAATTGTTCTACAAATTGTGACCGAACATGAACTTCTCATATTTTTCTTGGATTCAGAATTTTAGACGATCTTATGGATTTCTACCTCTTCTCTTATAATTGTTCTATTTGTATTTATTATATTGGATCTAGTTTAATCGCAATCACAATATCAGGTCATCCAACAGTGGATAAGTGGCCAACACTTGCCCATCTTCCACATTGGCAGTCAGATCAGCAGCACATCCAAGGGCACAAATAGTAGGTCCCATTCTTATGTATTATTTCTATTGACTTCGTGAATAATATTTTTTTGTGGTCACCGTCGTACACCCATCATCTGTGCTTTTTGCAGTGATAGTCCTGGTCTTTACAGCGTTGTTCACCTCTCTCCAAAAAATCCTGCATATGATCTTCTCTCAAAAATGTTGGAGTATGTGTTACCTCTCAATATTGCTAACTTGTTCATTAAGATGTGTATATAACTTGTTAAACAATATATGTCATGTCAAAAAATATTGTTGTGTATTTTTATATATGGAGCATATCGGAACATGGCACTACTTCTTTCCCAATTTTGAACAGTTGGAGTAAATGGATAACTGCATAGAGTCTAACCTGTGGGCACATTTATCATCTTTGTGGTAAACTTAAGTAATCATTAGGGGTTGTGAACTTTTGGGACTGGGAGTTAGGAATGATATTTGATAATTTGGTAGAACCAAGCTTAACCACCCTGTGCAGAATAAAGGTCATTTGTCAAGTCTTTGTGCCAGAAGTTCTATACAGCTATCGTCAGAAATAGGTTGCCTCGTTGATTGTCCATCTGTTAGAGAGGTAAAGATTCTGTTATATAATTTGGGCCTGTACGTTGGCCCCATTTTGGAAGTATGGGAGTGAATAACAAGTGGTTACCAGACTGTCTTTGTACTTTGGGGATCTTCTCTTTTCTTTTTTGTGGGGAACTTGGGGTTGTGTCTGCCATTGTGCATGTTAGGTTGCAACGATCTTTCCACATTCATTAAAACTATAGCTTCTTCTGACTTAAAATAAAGTATCTGATTAAGCGTGAGTGTTGGTGCTGAATTAAGGCTGTGTTGTTGAGCCCAGGGGTTATTTTTGTTTTCAACTTTTTTATATGTAGTGTAAATCTTATACCTTGCAATTAGGTAGTTTATTTTGACCTCTGATAGAGATTGAATCAGTCTTCTCTCCTTGTCATTAGTAGATCTCTAGTGTATAATTTCTTGCCACCTTCTTTGTATTTTGAAGTTATAGGAGTTCTACTTGAGAAGGGGGTACTAGCTCAAGTGTATGAGGTGATATTATGTTGTGTCGTGTATTATAAGAAGTGAAAAGGCCCCTATTGCACCATGATGCTTTCATTTCATAGTTTTGGAGTTTTCAAGTTTCTTTTGGGGTAGTAAGTATTCATTAAGTAATTATCCTTGTAGAGAAATGTGTATTCTGGTTAGCACCTTGATGATATGCACATACATTATCACAAAGTGGAGGTAACCACAGCGAGCTAAGGTATTTGACTTTCGAATTTGGTGTTTGCATGCATAAATGCTACTAGCACTTCATGATAAGATCACATATGTTCTGCATATTTCACTTGCATTTGTGCTTTAAATATGAAGCTAGTTGATTCGGTTAATCTATCTATAGAAATATTTTACTATTTTCTCCTTCCATAAATCTATTGCAGATATGATCCTCGAAAACGTATAACAGCAGCACAAGCTCTCGAGCATGAGTGAGATCTCTCACTCTCCCTCCCTTATGATTAACATCTGTATGTTTGTATGATCTATCCTGGAACAGACTTTTTGGTATTAGTATATACGTAATTTCTACTACTGCTTTTCTACACCAAGTGGAACACCACTTTTTGGCACTCATATCTGTGACCTTGTTGGTTGATTGCTTAAGCATCTTTATTTTTCTTACAAAAATACGCTAATTAGATTTTGTAAGGAAATATTTTATAGCAAAGACTCTTAGGAGGAAGATTATAATCCAAGCGAGTCTAGACTCTAGCGTGATATCGGTGATCTACGTTTCTTTATATGAGTTAATTCATGGAATCTTGAACATGAGGATGACGATGATGATGATGTGTGTGTATGTGAATTAAAATAGGTTTCATAAGATATGCTAAGCATTTGGGTGAACAGTTTACCTTACATGTTATATTCTGAGCTTGGTGAGGGTTTTCTTTTCTTTTTTTCATTTCTTTGTGTGCGACATATCTCTCTTGAAGGTCCCTGTTGCATGGTTAACCCTAATATACCCTGTAATACCCTTTGTCAAATTGGACATGAATGTAAATTAAAGCTTGTCAGATTCATCCTCAAGCGGAAGGCTACAAATGTACTTGGTTGTTTTGGAAAACTATGCAAGTGGTGTCATGTTGCTATCAGGCAATATATCACTTTACCAACGCACAAGCTCTAGCTATATTAAGAAAAACAATGGTAATATAGCATATCCAAAAGAGACCTTTTAGTGATGCCTAGAAAGATGAATAAAAAACGAGAAAGCAGAAGGTATTTCTTGTTAGAAGCCTAAGGAAGTTTATATATTTACTAACATACCATGCACATGAATACCATTTATAAATGTATGATACAAAAATTAAACCAAACCAAACAAGCCCAATATATCACAAGGGGGGGTGGGGTTTGGGATTCAAGAAAACACAGTTTCCAAACCAAACAAGCCCAATATATCTCAACTAGAGGGGGGGGGGGGGTACATATATCTGACCACTATCCTAAAGAGTAGGCGGCTGTTTCAGTGAGGATCCAGCTTGTGAAAGATGTGTGATACAACAATTATCTTCCAAATTTTTTTCTCAAGTTATATAATATTAGTGCCGAGTTGCAAGCGAGAAGGAAAATCTTTTATCATCAATGACCTCTCTTTGCTATCTGCTTGCTGATTTCCTAAGCAAACAGATCACTGTTTAGCCTTTTGCTAATGTCATGTTTCTTTGAACAACACTGGTTACTGCTTGAATCACTTAAAAAATAACTTTAGTTCATCAGCAGCAATCCACTGGGTCATGGTGGTAGTTGAAGTAACAGGGGCATAGGAACGTTATTTGCTATCGGATCTGCTGGTGTTTCTAATATAGTCACAGCTTATTTCCTCCTGCTTTGCTTTGATGACCTCTTTCATAATAGGTAAAATATTTGGTCATGGCTAAAATGTGAACGTAGATTGGTTATTTATCGGTTGTCATTCTGTCATGGTACATGATTAATTTCTTTGTCCTTAATAGGAACCGAATGATTGCTTTCAACTCTATAAGTTTACAATTTTCGTTTAGTTATTCAGCTAGTCAGAATTTAATTGCTTATAATTTCAATTAGATCAACCAAACTTTAATCCGTAAGCTCACTACCTTCTGTAGCTGTCCAATGTGGTTTTGCCTCAAGTGTTGCCTGAAATTTAAATGTGCTTTCCCAAGATTTAGTTTGAATAAAACAGATGTCTCACCTTGACTTTGTTTTTAATTTGAGCTAAGAACTAGCATTCTGTTGGTGATCTTTTGTTCACTTTTCAATCAGCATGTTATTATGGGTTCTTTGTATTGTGTATTCATGAACATTTTATATATGTTCCATCTCTAACATCATTCTGAATGTAGGTATTTTCGGATGGAACCTTTACCTGGACGCAAGTAAAATTTCTTCCTTAAAGACTTTGTTTCATAATGTTGTGTATTTTGATGCTTCAAACTGCTGATATAAATTGATGTTACTGCTGTTTACATCCTTGAAACTTGTGAGGGTAGCTGTTATGTTGAAGCATATATCCATCTATTTCATTTTATTTTCTTCTAACATAAATTTTTCAGTGCACTGGTACCGTCTCAACCTGGAGAGAAAATTGTGAATTATCCAACCCGTCCAGTGGACACGAACACAGATTTTGAGGGCACCACTAGTCTTCAGCCTGCTCAACATGTATGCTTGTACATTTCTATATGGTTTCTGAAGTAGTGTGATGACTATTAAATAAATGTGCATTCATGGAGAAATGTTCTCTCAGATGCTAATTTGATTAGATTCCTTGCTTTTGTTATATACCATTTAATGACATGCATCTGCAATATAAGATGAGACTGCATTATTCTTCATTTCTACTTTTTTCAAGTGTATAATATTTATATACACTCATGCAAACTCCCATCACTTTGGAATTTCAAAATAAGTCTTTAAAATCAAAAGTATCATGCTTCCAGGTTGAATCCACCTTTGGTTTGGAAATTCATTCACATGATTCTCTATTGGAAAACAAATCCCGGGTACACTGAATCATCCTGCATCATGATCAATTTAGGTTCTATATTTTAGTTGGCTGGAGTATTTGATATACAAGTTGCTGTATCCCTTGGAAAATTATTCGAATACTTGATATATAATCAATAAACATCAAAATTATGGTAGTGGTGAAGGATGCTTTGATGCATACATGCACTAATTAATTAAACTGAACCAACATACTTGATATGTTAATTACTTGAAGTAGATGATGGATGGAATTGCAGTCATGTTTATGTAAGAAATTGAAGTTCACTATATGAAGCACATATACTAATATGCAGGATGGTGACCTTACTTGAATCTAGAAGAAGTTATATATTGGCAGATAATTTGATGCACCATGAGAGAAGTTGTCTTTTTTATTTTTTTTCCTTTCATTGAAATTAAAGAGTTGCATCATGGTGTGATTGGTGAAGATTCTAATTGCAAGGAGAACATGGGAAAATGAAGAGGCTAAAGAGAGGCTATCATAAACAGATTTTTATTATTTCAGTTTATGAAGGCTAATTGAAAAACTAAATAATATCAATTTAACCCTTTCAGAAGAAGAAGATATTTACTCATGTTTTAATGCTTTGACCAGGCATCAGGAAACGTGTCTGGGGCTATGGGAGGTCCACATGTAATGCCAAATAGATCTGTTCCACGCCCTATGCATATGGTTGGCATGCAAAGGATGCAACAGCAGAGTATGGCGGCTTATAATATTGCCAATCAGGCTGGGATGGGTGGTGCAATGAATCCTGGAAATATCCCAATGCAGCGTGGTGTTGCTGCCCAGCCTCATCAACAGCAGCAGCAGGTTTAATATATTTTCTTATTATTTTTATTGTCATTTTCCTTTATGCAAATTTCTGATGGACTTATATTTAATGGAACCAGTTAAGAAGGAAGGACGGAATGGGGATGCCCGGATATCCACAACAGAAATCAAGGCGTTTTTGAGGTAATTCTCGTCTCTGGACTGACGTAATCACATGTCTACTTCTGATTCTTTTGTTTGGCTTCTAAGTGGAAAATGTGTGTTTATGATCATAACTTTATGCCTATATTTATGCTAAGAGCGTTTGCTGGCAGTTGTTTCACGAGAAGTAGGTATTACAACATTAACCATTATACCCATATGCCTTTAAAATCAACATCTTTCTTCCCACAAGAAATGGATTATTTTTTTGTTGGAAATGCTTTATAAGTTGTGGATTGCGCTCATTAGAGGTGTAACATGGCTTTTTTTTTTCTTTTGTAGCCTCCAACAGTGTATTGCTTAGATTTTGTTAAAGTAGTAATGAACCAATTGCCCACTAGGTTTCTATTAATTTGAGTATAGGACAAGTCTATTTCTCAATCAACCCCCTTTATCAACATGCATACATGGTCAAATGTGGCATTTTTGTGTAATGGAGGGAGTCAAGATGGTAACCCTCTTAGGTTTATACAAATTATAGTGATTGTACTCTCAAAGTGGAATCAAATTTATCAGATGGTATGTCAAGGAGACATTTAGGGTGCGTTTGGTACACTGGATAGGACAGAACAGGGATCACTGTTCCATGTTTGGTATGACTTTTATATGGAATAGAGTGGAACGGAGTGAAACAGGTGTGTTTCACCCCCATCTCATGGAATAAGGTGGAACAAACTTATGTTTTACCAATATACCCTCAAAATAAAACTTAGGTCTGTTTGTTTTTTCAAAATTACCTCTTAATATCTCTGAAATCTGATTCGTTCAGACGTTTGGATATTAAGAGCGTTTGTTTTATTTCTAAAATAAGAGCTTAAAAGCTCTTAATGTCATCTGAAATTTTAAGTGGTAAACGTATATCTTAATACCTCTTAATCCTAATCCGCCCTCTATCAAATGGTTCATATTTTGGGGGTTGAAAGACATTTGTTAGCAAAAACTATTTATCTTTTATACTTTTGTAAAACACAATTTATCTTTTATATTTTTGCACTAGTTTGACCGATTTAGATTTTAGATTTTAGACGTAAAAACAAACAATCTTATTGATCTAGACTTTAGACTTCAGGACCACCTCTTATAAATCAGAAGTGAAATCAAACTTTAGATTTCAACACCTCTTAAAAAACAAACGCCACCTTAATTCCCTTCAAAAACATCAAATACGGCTCCGCTTTACATTTTATCCATTCTTTAAAATTTATTTATTGTATTTTATAATTCATGTCTTGTCAATAAATTCCTATTTTTTCCCCCGACCCCACTACTAAGAAAGAGATTCACTTCTTAAAATATCCTACTCTTTAAACCTTCACTTTACTGTTCTCGAAGTTCTTTCTTTTACAATTTCTATATTTTGGTTAATTTATGTAATTTATTAAATATATAATTAAAACATAATTTAGAAAAAGTATAAAATAAAATTTTGAAGTTCCATAAACTTCATATGTTGGTGTCCATTTTATAATATTGACAAAAACTTTCTAATGATATATTTTGTTATTAAAAATATTTTATTTTTATTATAATATTTAATAAATTACATAAATTAATCAAAATATAGAAAATATAGAAAATATATAAAATAAGAACTGGAAATTTAAGATGAGTAAATAGAATGTTTAAAGAGGATAAAATATTTATGAAGGTCATTTTAGGTATTTTTGATTTTATGAATAAGATGTAAAATAAGAAATGTTTATGATTTAATTAAATGTGAGTTTTTTAATCAACATCTTTGTCATTTTTAATAATATTTCTTACTTTTCATTTAGATTGATTATTTGGTAAAAAAAACAGTAGACAACTCATTAAATTGGCCATTTTACCGGTAATGTTCTGTCCGGTCCTGTTTTGCCAAACACTCAACAACTGTCATGTCTTGTCTGGGTACCAAACGCACCCTTAATGTGGGAGGGTGAGACCTTTTTGTTGAGTTCTAGTCAATACTAGATTCTTGAAGTTGATGACGTAGTAGTTATGTTCTGCAAAAAAGGGTATGACTCCACTGTATAGAATGGCCCTATCGTACCAGTTCCATAACCATCATGTGGGAGGTAAATCGCATGTGGGAGGTAAATCGCATGTGGGAGATAAATCGCATGTTCCCAGGGGTAAGGGATGGTCCCTAAAGTGAAACCATGTACCTCACTTATTCTACAGGTGGGTGCATGGGGAAGGTAAATCGTGTGTGCCAAGGACAGGTACCTCATTCTACGATAAGATGAACTAGTACTTGTATTATTCCTTTGCTCTTTCCAAATGGCAAAATAACCACCTTTATTTGGGACACAACATGAAACTACTAGGCTAATCTAGTTCAAAATGGAGGCATGGAAGGACTGTATCCTTGCAGCGATTTATAACGGTCTACTCTCTACGTTCATAATAATATCCACAATGAAAAAGGCACATGGTATAATCTTGTAGAGATGTGTAATTCTTAACTTTGTAATCAACTAAATAACAATTTCACATGAGAGAGTAATGAATTTTTCTATCTCATACTTGATAGAAGAATTGGAAAGTAGACACTTATTTTGGAGTACATACTAAAAAGTTACAAGGTTCTTAGATACGGTTCTTTATCTTTCTTGAATCCAGATTTCGTGTTGCGATCGGGGGACATCAGGCCAGAAAATGCATATCCTGTTTTCTTCTGCTGGTGTCTTACAGAAATTGGCACTTGTATATTTGGTAAGACTGCATATATATATATATATATATATTATGTATATATATATATATATGTATGTATAAAGATATTGGTGTAGCAAACACAAACCAATTTTGGGTTATTGGTTAGAACCATTATAAATACTTTTACCCTTATCCATTTGCATTGATGGTTAAAAGCAAACAAACATGGTATATTCCGTTTGAAGGTAGAGTCCGGTGTTAACGAGTCAGATTGGCTTTGAGAAAATAATATTAGGCGTGAGCTTGAATATTTTTAAATATTGCTCAAGCTTGAGCTTGAATATTTTTTTTCATTGTTCGAGTTGGATGCACATTTTACAATTTTGAGTTTTTCATTTTGATTTCAAGTTTTTTAAGCTTGTCTATGGACTTGAACTCGAAATCGATTAGCTAGTTTACTGGCTAAAGGTCAATAATTTTAAATTTTGAGTGCTTAATTTGTGAACATATGCACGTGTTTGGCTCGGAAATATATATGTTCGTATGACTCTGCTTGACTCGAAAAAATTATTCAGACTTTCTAACGAATGACTCGGGATGAACCTATGGAACTCGACTTGTTAAGTTAAAAAAACTTTATTTTGTGTTTCGTCAATCTTGATGATTATTAAGCTTTGAGTTTGAATAGCTCGTGAAATGTTGTAATCACTAACATCTTTAGTTTGAGGTGTGATGTATGTAAACTTGTTTTCTACCGTAAAAAGTATACAGTAAAAGATCAAAAAACTAATGACGTTTCTCTCTCTCCCTTTCCCTTGTTTGGCGATCATGAAGTTGCTCATTGACGCGTTGATCTCTTGGGTTCTTGATCGATTTTGAGGCTAAAAAGATTGGTAGATTTTCGTTTTTTGGTTACTTTTGGGAATTGGTTGAATTCGGATTGTTTCAAGGAGGTGCGAGGCGTCGTTCTTGATTGCTTGCTCTTTAGGTTTTCATTTTTTCCAAGATTGAGGGGTTCGTTTTCCAGATCTGTGGAGTTAGGTTTTTGTTCTTGGGTTTGCGTTGGTTTTCATTCCTTCTTGACAGCTGTTTTAATCAAGATCAGATCTGTTGGTGCTTTTTCTGGGCTGTTTGTACGCATATCTGGTCATTGGAATTCGTTTAGGGTTCCTTGATCATCAAGTTTCAGTTCTTCACGTCAGATCTGGACAGCGGTTTTGTTGGGGGTATGGCTAGGGTTTTCTGACCTTCAAGGCTGTTTTGGCTCAGATTTCTCATCCACATCATGGCTTCGCTGCAGTCTTGTTTGACAAGAAGTTTATTTGCTGCTGTTTTCTTGCTACCCACGACATAGCTGTTGTTTGACTTCGTTTTGCTGTTGTTTAGCTACGGTTTGCTGCAGGTTGCTCTTGATCAGACCTGCTAGGTTTGAAAAGTTTGTTGGGTAAGGTTTCCTCAGTACTTCTTATGATTTTGCTGCTCTTTTTCCCACATTTCTAGCTTCGGGTTGCTGTTGTTGGCTGTTTGGTTGCTGCTGATTTCGTGAGAGTGAGTGGCTGTTTGCTCCTTGACTGGAGTGTGTTTCTTGTATCTTCGTTGCCTTTCGTGGTCTCCTCGTGCAAGTTTCAGCATTTTGGCTTAGGCCAAAAAATCTTCGTCATTTGTCGTATGGTTTCCACCTTAAGGCTTCAGCATACGGGCTTCATTCTAAACTGGGAAGTGGACAATGGCTTTCGATAAAGAGGGCATTGGTGTGGATATGGCTAATGATGATATGGTTGAGGCTGGGGATGTGATCGTGAATGACATGAATGCTAACGCTTCCATGCATAGGGCTGGGGTTGTGTCTGATAATCCCATGTAGAATACGGTTGATAGGGTTTCGATGTTTGAAATATTACACTTGCCTAGGGGGAACGAGGGCCCTCAATATGGGAAGGTTGAAATTCTGAAGCGCGGTATGGACTTTAAAGTGGCTGTTGGAAACTCGTCGAATTCACTCCAATTCTTTCCTTTAGAGGATAAGAAGAGCATGAGCATTCCTATTCCGGTGGAGCTTGCTAAGACAATTAGCAAATCTTATAATACCACAATATATGGGTATTTCTTAGGCCATCGACTTCGGTTGTCGGTTGTCTTAAACTTTGTGAAAGCTGTGTGGAACAAGTTTGGATTTAAGGATGGCATGATGACTGGAAACGATATGTTCTTTCGATTTGATGATGAAGAGGGATGCCTTCAAGTCATTGAACAAGATCCTCTTATGATACGAGGGGTCCCCTTATTTGTCTTTCCATGGACCCCACAAAGATTTGTCATTGAACAAGATCCTCTTATGATACGAGGGGTCCCCTTATTTGTCTTTCCATGGACCCCACAAAGGGTCTACACAAATCGGAACACTCCTCTTGTCCCTTATGGGTTAAGCTCCATAATATCCCACTTATTGCATTTAAACGGGAAGGAGTGAGCCGCATTGCAAGTGTGCTTGGGGTGCCAAAACAAATGGATTCTTGCACGTCGGCTATGTATGATAAATTATGGGGTAGACCGGGATTTGCTATAGTTCTAGTGGAGGTCTGGGTAGTTGGGGAACTAAAACAGGAATTGGAGGTTATTATCCTAAATCTGACTGGTGGAAAGGATGAGAGAGTTAAAGTTCGTGTGGAATACATATGGGAACCTCTTCAATGTTCTCATTGTTGCCCCTTTGGCGATAGATCGAGTTCTTGTGTTAAAGCTGAAAATGCTTGTCAGTTGCTAGCTAAGGATGAACGACCTCAAGTGGATGCTGATGGCTTTGTATGGGTGGAAAGGAGGCAATGAAGAAGGATAATGCAACAACACACCATGTAGTAAACAATACTAAGAAACATAACTCATATTCAACATACATCAGGTATCAAAGATTACAAACATTTCAAGTTCATTTACATACGACAAACCAACAGTATGGGTTAACAATTTTTTTTGTCATAATAAGACTTGATTCCGTAATTCGTTTACATCTTCCTTTTGCTTTCATCCTGTGATGTTGGATGACCTGCAAAATAAATTATTACAAAAGTTGAAGGTTAGACTGAAAGGTCTAGTGAATGAATCACCTTCATGCAAATATAATATGCTGTAATAATCTAATACAATTCAAACCTAATTCTTAACGATAAATTAACATCCATCTATCGCGGTTACACCGTCATTCCATCTGTTGCGGTTACATCGTCATTCCATCTATCGTGGTTACACCACCATTCCATCTATCACTGTTACACCGCCATTCCATCTATCACTGTGTTGGTCCCTTGAGGGTCTACAAGAAGAGTAAAACAGTTTGTAGAAGGGGGGGGGGGGATGAATACAAACACAATATTTTTAAATTTAAAATATATATATTGATAAAGAAGATCAATACAGATTTTACAAGATTGTTTGCGGAAAGATAAGGTGATAAAAACCTATCTAAACAATCTTTAGTTACACACTAAGTCTTAGCAAATACAAGAAAATAAATGTCGTAGAGAAGATCCTTTACTTAAGCTAGAAAATGCTTGAAGTAAGAATTAGGGTTAGAGAGTGAGTTGCGCGCACTCTGCATGGAGAAGAAACAGTTCTATTTATACTCAGTGCATTAAATGAACATTTAATGCAATAAGGTAGGGTTAGAGTGCGTGTCAAAGCCTTAAGGGGAAAGCTTGTCTTTTGCTACAGTGAATAGTACAAAAAGCACTATTCATAAGCAGACATCCTTACCTAAAGTTGGTGGACAATAGAGTCGACTAGTCGGCTCCGTACCGTACCAACTTTCATAAGGGCATGGGTTTTGTCCTTTGTGTGCATAAGAACAAGACAACAACAATCGTGCTAAGCAAGCTTCCTTTGATCGCTGAATGCTGGAATGACCTGAAGGTCTCATCATCATTCGCTGAAGCTTGAGCAGTCTTCACACATATGTAGACAGGCTTGTAATCACTGAATACCGCTTCAGTTCACGTACTCGTCAGTCTCTATTCTTCAGTTTCAGTCTTCGACGTTTGCTGAAGGTTCTTTGGTGTGATTGTTGTCTATCTTGAAGCATTGTTGTCTGTGATAGATTTACAATGCAAGTTCTTCAGTGATCACTGAACATACTCAGTAAAGATCGCTGGAACTGAAAAGACAGAAACATAAATACAACGTATAAGTGAAAAATGATTATCATCAAATCACAGAGAGAGAGGATCAACAATCTCTCCCTATTTGATGATAACAAGATAACATAAAGAAGGTTATCTTATCAAATAATAGTAAGGAAAAATTACATATGAAGTACATGTCCTTTTTTACTATTTTGGGATTTTTTTCAGTTAGCCAGTCTCAGCTTGAAAATTTTCCTTAAGTTATATCTGAGAAAATTACAAGTATGGAAACTGAAACTGAAAGCTGACTTATAGATTTTCAGTGAATGTGAAAAGTAACATCGGAACTCATAGACTTGTGTCACTATTACTTTTTTCAGGGATCTTTTTCAGTGAAGTACATGGAATACTCATTTTATTAATCATAGGAAATATTACAAGTATTACAATACATGTCTAGAACTTACAGAATATAAGTACAATCACTGAAAGTAGACATAGTACAAGAAGTTACAAGGAAAAGTGGATTGTTGTTAAAAAGAGAAACTTATTCTAGAACTCTTAGATCTATGTAACCAGGTACATTTTCACCAAGTTTTCTTAGACGTAGGAATTCCCTTCATATCTTCAGATCTACGACTTTTTCAGGCATGCTATCATCTATCCAGAGCAAAAGGTAAACCAGATGATCCATTGGACATAGATATAGCTCTGACATTCTCTGAAATCTGATTTCACCTTCATAGTCAAGGAATATAACTCTTAACTCAGGTTTAAAATGCACAGAGTTGGGTGTATAAGGACCCTTATCTGGCAAGTCAAGATTCAACATAGAAATATTTGTACTCTTATGACCCTTCAGGACTTCATCTAAGGAGAACCTTGTTTCATGTCCGTTCCTTAGGAATGGTCCATCATTAGGATCAGAGAGCTTGAGTTTCTTCTTCCCACCTTTCTTCAGAGTTAGCCTGTCAGAGACCTTGACATACATGGACATCCTTTTGATTAGCTCGCTGATGGTGTCCTCGATAAGTGTCTTGTGTCTCGACTTGGATTGCTGAATGGCTTGTTTTTCTATCCTTTCGCTGAATCCATAATGGCCTAGGTAGGAAGGGTACTCGGTAACGACATCAAGATTGTCCCTGGTGATGAGCATTGAGACCAGCGTTCCACCGTCTTTAGAACGTCCGCTGATGC